TGACGGCTGAACCGTCTATTGGCAGTATAGGTTCCGCTCAACTGTGGTTTTGCCAAGAACCATAGTTGAGTGGAACCTACTGCCGATAGCCATACGACAAGTAACTACGGCTGACAGGCTGCAGACAAAAATAATCAACATGGATCTAACTACTTTTAGTTGGGGGGGCACTATTAGTGTACACTGGCAACGGCACACTTGCAATAGTATATCCCGTTTGAGGAGTATGTTTGCAGTACTGAGAAGAAAAAGAAGAAGAAAAAACATATTTACCCCTTAGACAGCTTTCCAAAGGATATTCCAAAGGTAAGGTTCACCCCGTCCCAAGACACGATCACCAGAGATCCTGCGCGGTGCCATGTGATGGATTACCGCCGGTTTTCACTTAATGCATTCCCCATCGTGCACGAAACACAGTGTTTACAAAGGTGCCGTCAATGGCATTCCGCCATCTTGAAATGGCGTCAACAGACATGGTCATGCATTTCTCGTTTCAAAGTCATCGATATTACAGCCAGTGTTTAAACGATGCTAAGTCAATTTCCATGGTGTTTGCAACCTTCTTCTTTATCCACGTCCCTTTAAATAGTACCGGCTACGTGTGTCGCAATTCTATTGTAGCAGGCACAAAATATCTTAAAAAGCTATTTTACACAATTTGAAAACACAATTTGCTGCCAACTTGTGCACTGTGGACTTGTTGGCTCTCACGTTTTCCAATTACAAGGATAAGTATCCACCTGCACCTAGTTCAGTCTGTTTTCAAACACACTATAGATTGCTGGTTCACTGAAAACACTAGTAAATCAGGTTCACCGTAAAATATGATCCTAGCCTCTGATCCAAAGGGGAATAAAATTCAGTGTAACATGACTCACAATATTGGAGTAAAAGCATAGGAGGAATTTGTGACCTGCTACATGTATCTCTGTGGTTACCCTTGTCACCAAACACCGTATCTGCGCCTACCAGTTCCGGACACAAATCAACAGTAGGAAAAACAGGAATCATTTCTCGAAAAGGCAGATGATCAACAGGGTAGTTTGGGACTAAGTTCAGGTTTGTTTATCCCACATTCACAATGGGCCTATAAGAGGCCTTCCCAGAAACGGACATAATAATTGTGACGAGTGTGAATGGGTGGCTCTTTATGAGGCAACATCACGTGACCCACTAAATTCCAAAACCAGACTGAAGTCGGTAATTAGAATGTTTTCCTATTCCTCTCCCCTGCCGTTAAAGTTCATATTCTTCAAAATAAACTATATGGGGTTTGCATGCCTGCCATCTTGCAGGCCACTGCCTTTGTTCCTAAGGGTCTGCACAAAGGAGGTTTCCCTGTAGAACAAAGGAACTGCCCTGCAAAATGGCTACCACGCAAAGCCTCTATAGTGCAAATGTTGCCTGCAGAAAGCTTTGGTATATGGCAGTGAAGTCATGGACTGTGCATTGTTCATGTGTGAATACTGGTGTCATTTTTCGGATAACAGCTCTCCAGCCTGCTTGGAATGGAGGGTCATCCAAAGTTGAGCAGCGTGTTCTTGGAAACCACAAGTTAAATTCAAACCTTTCGTTGGCAACGGAAAACTGAAAATCGATAATCCCTTCTACGTAAACCTCCCCATCTAACCGTAGAGAAAGGAAATGACAGCTCCAACTAAAAACATTCATTCGGTTTTTTCTAGAGGTGACAATGCATAGTCACTGTAGCGTGACAGGATTCTTTGTATGAAAGTGAATGGTGATGAAGTTCATAAGTGGAAGCATTTTTTATGGTTCTACTTTGTTGTCAACACTCGAGCAGATCGCAATTCCACATTTTGTTGGCATTTCAGGTTTCCTGAAAGTATTCCAAGTATAATAATCATTGTTTGAACAGATGGTACCATTCAAACAAGCTGCAAACAGCCGATACGGTAGTGGTCGCAGATCATTGCATGATATTCAAGATGCCCAGCAAGAAATATTGCATGGATTGAGATCAAGCGTATTGGACGACTGGATTTTTACAAGCGTATATGCAACACATACAGCCGGTGAAACATTTTAGTTATGGTTCAGAATTAACTTTCATAACCACTATAATCGGTATATTTACATTTCACTTTCTCTTTGAAAGGGATATTGCTGCAAAAGTCATAAGAAACCGACCTAAAATAAAAATGATAATTTACAGAAATGAATTCAAACGCTCGGTTTCCCTGAAAATTCCCCTATTAGTACATGCCTATGTTTTCAAAATGGGATACACGGAACTCTCCAGTTTGGAAAATGAAATAATTCTGTACTTGACCACGGTCATATATGGAGGCAAAATCGTAAATTGTCATCCATTGAATCGATGTCTGCTTGAACGAATGAATACAATCCTTACACGTGTCATTGGAATGTTCTAGACATAATTGGTCATCCAAATCCAACCATGTACATTGCGCGCTCATTTCGGTGTCAGTGACATTGAACGTGGCGACAAAACTTCCCTACTTCAAAATTTTTGATATATCAAAAAAAGTAAGCACCCAAGCAACACTTTGTGTACATATGGAATGAGAATACACTGTAGGCCTACACATCATTTATAATACATGGAAGGCGGGTTTGTGGAGACCATGGGAACTAATCTCTGTTTTGAGCTGTATGATTCTTAGAAGAACCAATACCACAACTCAACTCCACAACTACCACAACTCGGTGCTACCGCAAACCTTCCATACGGTGCTCAGGTTCACCCGTGTAAATCTTGAAGTTACACTCAACTTTCTCTGGAAAGGGTTAAAGGGGCTCCATACCTCTAGATGCTTGGATGATGCACGATCAAGATCGAAACCTTGTGGGATGTGCAAGACAAGTTTCAGCGGGCCAACTTCCTTGTTAATCCACACATTCTCAGTGACCAGAGCGGAACAAGCTAGTAGCGTGCTCGGTCAAGAGAGCTCTCTGCGAGACCAGATTGCCGGTATGTGTTACACGCGAGTGCGAAACCCGAGTTCATGGACGTTGATGAAATATCAAATGTTATTTCCGTTGAAAAGAACTTTCTGGGAATTCCAAGCAGAGATGTGCTTCTTTACAGAGCTTTTTTCCAGATGGATGTCGGAATTTTATTGTATCACTGGCATTTGGCTTGTGTCAGAGTTTGGATATTTCCAGCGAAGTTTGTGACTGAACTTTATAGGCTGAAACACAACAGTGATGGAAATCTCATTTCGACATCACAATGATTATAGAAAATCTTTCTTGATCCGTAACTTGAAGAGGAACAACAGGAAATCGGAAATTCAAATGGACATCTGAAGCGACCATGACATTGACGAGCGATCTGTCCCAGCTTGACGGAACTCCTGCCTTGAAATCGCACGTCCCGTGCGTATAGCTTTATGTACTGTGCACCTCCACGCCCAGCTTACATTCTAAGTTCAAGGAACTGACATTTCGGGACATTCAAGGGCACCTTTTATAAATAAGGTTTGGCGTGAACCATGCAAGAATTTCCTAAGGGGCACCACCACCGACGCATTGTAAGAAAACATCAGCGCTGAATTACCACCATGTGGCATTTCATGGTGTATGATGACCATGGCTGTGTCCAAAACTCATGGCTGCGGCTGCAGATAACACGTGCGTCAATAGGGGCCACTGGATAGCCACTTCCCGTAGCCGTGCGTGTAAATCCCATTCGCTGCCAGTTGATATGGCCTCTTGCCGAACCAGATCCCAGAGTATCAATTCAACATAGCAGTTGATTCATTTCTACGGTTCATGGCTTGCACACGGGCTATCCCATGGATTATGGTTTCTGATTATCCCATGGGTTATGGTTTCTGATTATCCCATGGATTATGATCTGTCGCGCCACATTATAGGCCTAGTAAGAGGTGCTCTATGGGTAATTCCAGAAATTAGGGGTCCATTTATTTCGTGTCCCTGTCACATCTGACATGATTTTGATTATGATTTTATAGGTTCAAAACACATTTTCTAATTTTCAAGAGTGATGAATTAATGGAAAATTACCTGCCAAACAAATAGCAACAGTCTGAAATCAATTCCAGTGATATTTCCACGTCAAATATCAAAGGTCAGATGTAACAGGGACACGAAAATGTCACACATTTGGACCCCTAATTTCTGGAATTACCCCTTTATGATAATTTTTCAATTTCTTTTTACATTTAAGAATGGTGTAACAGTGCCACACTTCCAGATTCCTTACATCGACGAAGTAGCTCAAAATTAAGGCGTTGGAAATCTGGCAGTTTGCAAATTTTATTCGAGTAATTTTTATTGCAGTGTACAATTTGTTTTCAGGAAGTAGGTCCAGCAATCCTGCCATCTCAAGTCATTCGGACCTCCATAAAAATGTGTGAGAATACTAAAAACACGTGCATGCACAGAAAAAGTAATGTGGACATTGTTGCAGTAGTAAACCGCGCGCATCTCTCATCTGCGGATAATTGGGTGGCCCCTTAGGAACCCTCGGGCCGCTGCATTCACTCTGTACGCAGGACAATACCCCAGTCACAAGAACACCTGCATTACGCATTTAAAGTCGGGGCCTTCAAAGGGCAAACCAGGATTTCACTATACTTCCACGATTCGGTTGGTAAGAGACACCTGATCCAACCAGTGTTATCACCATGCTATAACTATCGACGTATCGGTGTATCCTTGAAATTTTTTTTCCGGTATTTGCTTACTGAATGACAGTCTTAGTCTTGTTCTAAAGGAAACTTATTAAGCTGACCTAAGTCAATCTGTAAGCTCAATTAGGCACTTGCCACAATGGGTGATTATAATGAATTAAAATTTACGCAGTTCTTAATCTCGTATACACATTCACAGGGTACCTGTACTGTACATGTACAATGTTTAAAAGTAAACTATTCTGGGTTAGTACAGTGTACTGTTTTTAAAACAGGGTTCATTGTGCATACACCGAACAATAATACATGTGCAAGTTATTTTGAATATTTAATGAAGGCAACTTGAAAAACGCTCACCGTCGACTGCACTGTCGTGTTGCTGGCGAGGTTGTCTTTCGCCGATGCTGGGAAGTCGGTAATGTCGTATCGTCAAGGGAGTATTTTTACAGCGTGCCCAGCCGTTTATCCCATTCAGGTGAAACGTGCGCTGTCTGAGACGAACGTTTCCAGCCGTTACACAGCGGGCCTCTGAATATGTAATTCATAAACGGTGTGTTCACCAAGAGAATTTTTAGTGTCGAGTTGGCCCCACATGTATAACGCAGCTGCCTCTCACACGCAAGCTAATTGAGCGTCTATCATCAGTTGCTGTATAACCCGTTCCTCATAACACCCCCTTTCCACGAGCGTGCAGAGCTCCTGAGCAGCAGAAGTGGCTTACGGCAACATCCACTTCAACACAGAACGTCCTCTCACTCTCAGAATCCAAATATTGTGGTTCCATTAATTAAGGGAAGCGTAGGTTATCTTTATCAGCGTACTTGCTTTCTTTCTCGGTTACAATGTCAGCCACGTCCGTATTGATATACGTGTATTTACAAAGAAAGACCATTACAAGATGGAACGACTTCCTCCATCCGTTCGTTTCCTGTGCTTCCCCGCACGTTATCTGACCAGCAGCGACTGCTCTCCGCGGGATTGTGATAGCTTATCATGCTTGCATATGCACTGCGTGAACCTTCTGTTATCAGTAATGTACTGCCATAGAGTCGAATGGGAGCCGTGCGTTTGTAGTCGGATTACCCATTTCCTCTGTCGTGCTGTGAGTAGGCAGAGGCGACAGCCACCAGACAATAACATTTCCTTTGTTTCAAAGTGGGATTGGCGTCTGCGGTAGTAAAGATGCACAGCGTTAGACGATCGTAGGACATCTGTGCCTGTGTTGGGATTATTAATATATGCACGCCATTGTGTAACACTATCCATCCCCGGATTCCCTTTGTTCCTTCGCTTGGCCTCTCCAAGGAGTATAAATTTACCGTTTACAAAAAATAAAAACAACGTGAATAAGAAATTATCATTTCATGGATAAAAACACCACTTTCGGAATAGGCTTATTCAACTTTTTTTGGGATTTTTGGGATTTTTTTTGTCTGTCAAGCGAAACAAACGATGTCCGATAATTAATATTCGTATTGCAGCGCCCTCTGTCGGCAGTCTATTCATTTCAGCACAAAAAAATCCTTAAGTTAATTTTCCTCAGAGGCTGCTAGTTTAGATTGTTGACGGCAATGAGAACTGCAAGAATTGGCTGATATGAGATGATGCAGGTACACTATAGGGCACAGTCCACTAATTCAAGCCCCATTGAAAACAGTGTAAAATCAGGACCGTTCAGGGCCCAATAGCATGCATGCCAACATCCCTGAGATTTCTGAAACACAAATGAAATGATTGTCTGGTCCCTCGTCTTTCAGTTTCTTTTCAGATTATTTGTTTAACCAATTACATTTTTAAATATTCTCACAAAATGAAATCCCCCCGAAAAGTGATTTGTTTCCGAGGTCTGATTGCAGCCATTTTTCAAGTGGCAACCCTCAACTTTCTCTGGTACTTTAGGACCAATTTTTCAATTTTTCAACCGTACTTTTGAGCCAATCTGCTCTCATATGAAAGCTCAAAGACCCAGGGAGTTTATCCTGGCAACCATTTACACAATCCCATCATTTTGGGGCCAAACAATCTCTTCTTTCAAAAGATACTGTGGGGGCACTTTTAATGCTAATGAGCTGGCCAGAAATTCTCACTTGAGCAAATGGACTGCACCCTTTAATGTCATCTGATGCAACAGACATGTTGACCGAAAGTTTTGAAATCTGCCTATTAATGGTAGAGGGCGCCACAGATTCACACCACCCACGATAAAATCATCATTATTATAGACGAATCCGGACCCGCGGTAACTGTCACGTGTTGCAGGAAGTCCAACTAATAAAATAATGGCAAATGCATTGTACCGGCTATTTGACAACGTAACCACCAACAACGAGGACTATTCTGAAAAGTCCAAGTTAAAGCAGCGACTATTATTAGTCAACCGTGCATTGGTCGATTTTACCTGGTAATTTTGATGTGGATAGCGGCAAAATCGACGAATGGGTTGATGTTATGGTCGCTGGTCAAACTTGGCCATAGTTGGGCACCACGCTTTTCCGCCATTACTGGGGATGGTTGGTTTAGACAGTTCGGGTCTTCTCCTACAGAGTACCGTGTTCACGTCATCGGAGATTCCTCTGCATCATGGATGGCCCATAATAATATCCGCTCTTGACTGTAGTCTCTAAATGATTTGATTCCTGATCCTTTATGTCATCTCGTGTCCCTACAACGAAGACGTGCGTCATGATGCATAGAAGCAAGACACGGCCAGAGTGCACCATAGCACGAAACCAATATCCAATTTACTCAACCGAGGCACACCAATCACAAACTTCTTTAATTATTAGTTTTTTTGTGATCAAGTTCGAATGTACGGGCGTCTGACGGAGTAAGTCCGCGTTGTAGGTTGAGCAGCTAGCTTGATCTTAAGAATATTCAGCATATACGGGAAGCAATCTATGATGATCTTGAAATAAAACACAAAACAAGATAAATTGGCACAATTATAGTAGACCAAGATTTTCTTCTAATTATCATATGCTATGGGAAGACACTCGTAGCGGAAACATGTTGGATCTACATTTCCTACTCTTATTCGTTTCTTTTTCTTTCTCTTTTTTTTAAATTTAGCTGGATGGATAATTTATTGATATTTACTGAGACGTGCAGGTCATGTTGGGAGCACCAGCCGCGTCGTCAACGGTCCACACGGGGTGATCATTGGTGACGCATAGCCCGTCGGACTTAGAACGACACTTCGCTGATGAATGTCTCGCTGTGGACATCTCGTGTTTCGAACGCTCTCGTGTAAACAGAACACGATCAGGCGAGATGAAAACCTTGATTATTAGCGAGGGACATGGATGGTTTCCGAAGGATGAACCACAGACAAGCGCAGTTCTAAATTGCATGCGTTAAAGACGGCGTCTTTGAATAAAATGGTAAAGTTCTTTAATTTGCGCCTCCCATGGACTTCTGTCTTGTTTCTTAAGCGTTTAGTAACCTTGTGTGTGCTAATTAATCTGACAACATTTGATCTGAATAGACACTCAACTTGGCCCTCAGATTGTCATGGAGGGCGCATATACGTTGGCAATTTGAATGACTGACAATCCTTTGTGGGACAACGCCTTTAAAGAGCATCTCTAAGGAAAACATGTTTTCTCTGATTTCATCTGTTCAAATAAACACGGAAGCATCCAAATTGAACCCAGTGTATTTTGTCTTCAGAGCTCAACTATATCAAGTTAAAAAGGGTTTTTTCTGATACTGCGTTCGATTTGGATGCTTCCATATTTATCTGAACAGATAAAATCCGTGTTTTCCTTAGAGATACTCTTTAAAAAGAAAGGCGGTTCGTTCATGAGATAGATCCATTCTGTCTAGACACTGCCCTGGATTGGAATTTACTAGGGGTGGGCGTGCACATAAAGGAAACAGTTCAAAAAGTGGCGTGGGAGAGCCAACCGCATCAAAGTCTGAAAATTGATCTCGGGACTTGGACTGAGTATGCATGATGGTTGAGTTCGGGTGGCCTGTTAATGTTCTTGACACAGATTTCTTCGGTTCCCGAACTCGAACTCGAACGGCGGGAACTTGTGACGACCCAGGAACACTGTTCTCGGAACAGGATCACACAACACCTCCTCGTCAGGGTTTTACGGGAACACACGAAAAAACTCCTGAAATTTCAAACAAATTTTTGACTACCGTAAGAAATAGCGAGATGGCTTACAAAGCCGGAGACAATAAGAAATTTTGCAAAATGAACACTTTTAATTTTCCTTAACACAGGAATGAATGAAAGAATTCAGCCCAGTTATCCAAGCATTAACTCCTCGAAGAAGTGACAGACGTCGCCATTTTTCTTGTAGTGCTACTTCCAGCAATAACCAGTTTTATGTTCCCGGTGTTCGAGTGACCGACCCACGAACAACATATTGAGCTGTTCATGAACCTACGAGAACAAGCCTCCCGAGCTGAGCCATAAAGTGGGTATTTATCGCATGCGAGAGTGTACGGACCGTTTGGTACACAGCCCGAGTTTCCTTCTCCCGCCTTTAAAATCAAAAGAAACTGACGGTGACGCTTCCAGATTATTGGTGGTGGATATTGCTGAAAACACTGGGTTCGAACTCGAAGGCGTGCTTGACAAGAATTCAAACTCTGTTGTGATGTCAACACCTTCAGCTTATGTTTCTGGCCACCCAATCTCTTTATCGTAGAGAAACAAAAAAAATCCCCTCGTAAATCAAGAGATGGATGCATATTTTGGCAATGACGTAGCGTGTTCATGATCGTTGACTGATCATGACCATATGTGATATGGGCAAACACAACTCTGGCACCGTGGCAACCTATCCCATTATGCATATATTTCGAGACTGGTGGAGACTGGTGGTGAGGGCATAATCTGTCCTGATCATGCCTACAAAAACTGTCGCATTTGGGTCACGGGGCACGCTGCAAGAGGGCGCAGTGCCAGCATGCCAGCGTTGATCCTTGTTAAAAATGCTCAGAGGACGCTGAAATGAATTGTGTACACTGTCATGCCTTGTTAGGGTCTTTCATAAGTTTTAAGAATTTCAGAGGGTTTGTTAGTTTATTCATTTGCTAAGTTGTCGCCAGTCATCGATGGACGGAGAACTTGTAAAACCTAAATGTTCTTTTTCGTTCAACACTGCACTAATATAAAGGCTGACAGGGATTACTGTCTTAAAGTTGACTATAGAGGGCGCCGCAACTTTTCGCCCTACCATCATCCATCGTCTTGAGCATGGCACTCGACCCGTACATCATATTTTGTGTCTTGTGAAGCCGCAGACTGTAAGGAATGCTGTGTTTGTGTTTGCTCGGTCAAGTGTCATATGAGAATTTCAAAACATCCCAATGAAAGATCAGGATGTTATACGGTGATTTCGCTTTTTGTTAGCTAAGCCCCACCCCTTTTGGGAGGAGGTAGGGGGATGGGGCTCCCTGGTTTGCCTATGACTCGGCTATGATATAAATATTCCAGGCAGGAAATTCTCATAAAGAGGTATCCAATAAAATTACCCCAACTTAGAAGTACATTAGCCGAATATGAATCATTCACTGTGTACACTCAGACACGTCCTCCATCAGTCGGGAACTTGAAACGTACTTGACAAGAAGACTTGAAAACGAAGTTGACTCATAAAAATAACATCAGTGACATCAAGAGTAACTTTTTAATTACTGTAGTTCTGCTGTTGACAACTTAGAAAAGGGTGCCTTCCATCAAATTAATGGTTGCATTAGCTCATTAATATTTTGTGATCCCACAGGGATTTGAAAAGAAGACGTGCCATAACCAGGAGGGACCACAGAGATATTTCTATAAATCCCGAATTCAGGACTGATAGTTTCCAGTTCGGCGTATTTCTTTCACAATTAAAGCCCCAAATTGCGGGCCTATTTTGGATGGAGGCGGGCAGCTACATTCAGAACTGAGCGCATAGTTTTACTACTATTTTGGGGGTGTCTTCGGGGAAAAGGCGAATTAAAATAAAATCGTGGCTAACCCCCATAAAATTGAAACGAAAAGTGATCTTTTGGCCATAATGTTGAATTTCCAGTGAAAAAACGGAGGCCGACTTCTTCCCGAGAGTCACCAGGCGGCGCCGTTTCGGTCTGATTTTGGAACTGTTTTCTATGGGCGGCGCATATTTGGTGCAGTGCAGCCAGAAGGCGATCAGAAGCTTACATAAACGCAGTTGAAGCAAAGTGATCTCTCGACATGAAAAAGTAGCATTTTAAATAACCGAATAAACTTGCCAGAAACTTTGTTATCACAATATAATAACATGTACAGCGTCAAGTATCGAACACGTGGCGTGAGTGGTTCCCATGTTGTCCCCCAGGTCAATCTTGCGTGACGTGACGCGTGACGTGGTGGTCCAATCCGCTAGGTTGACGACGTGGTTAGACTGATGACATTGACAAGGATCGCCTGGTCTGAGTGATAGGAAAAAGTCGCCTTTTATTCCCTGCTAGGTCTGCACAGTCGCGGAAGTTCTATTTAAAATGCCGCGGGTAAACTGAGCTGTGTATTAGAGAACTTGGTGTGACTACTAGTTGAGCTGTTCTGGTAGAGTCAAGTCACGTTTTGTGCTCCAGTTTTTGGAAGTTGGAACAATGTTTACACGAGAAAAGTCCGTGAGGAATAGCAGGGAGCAGTGCGTGGACGGGGGTGCGCTGGGGGCAGAGGGTCGTGTGGCCCCGTCATTCTTGAGGACGGTGCACGCCTGTGTATGTTGGAGGCTGGCTGTGTCATTGGGATTATGGCACTGCCTGTTGTTGGGTGTAGTCCAGCCCTTTAATCTGGATACAAGTGCCCCTGTGTCCTACGAAGGACCCACTGACAGCTACTTCGGATATTCTGTTCTCTTGCACGAGAACTCGGCAGGGAAATCGTGAGTATTTTGTCATGTTTTGTGCTTCGATGGAGTCATTGTCTTGTATTTGTTGACCTACACTGTCGTACTGTTACTGTACTTTGGCCACTCATTCCTGATTGAGGTTGAGATGATATCTCAACCTCAATCGGAGTTACAATATAATATTACTACCGCTCTACATGTACGTCTACGTGTGAGTTGCTGGTAGGTTTGAATAGAGCACAGCTCCTAGATCAATTTCTTCTACCATTGCAGTCGCTGCTGTCACAATGACTACTTCTGATCATATTCGTAGCCATGAAATTAACTTAACCTTTTCTTTTCATAGTCCATCTTCAACAATCACTCTATAATTGTTTAGAGCTACAATGATTTGTTGTTTCTTATAGTAATATGTATGTATGTTTTGTGTAAGGGCATGCCTAACACAGGGTTTGCTTTTAAGGTGTTGCCACCTCTTCTGGCATATATATGCCTTTTAGACTTGTCTTTTTATTATTATTTCTGCCACGGGAGGAAATAAATGTGTTTGTGATACCTCCTTGGTAATGCTTAGCCTAATGGCTGTTCTAGATTTCCAGCGTCAGATTTCATGGTTGTCAACAGGGGTAGGTCAGTTTGTAGATTTATTACAACAAAGTTTGGGAAAGAGTTCCATACATAGGACGTGACATAATACCCTGTGCACAAACCCTGTGAGATTGGTCAGAAAATTTCTAAGTGAATCCTTCGATATTTTCCCAGCAAAATTCGACTTTTTAGGGCAGGTTATCACCTTCTGATGGCTTATAAATCATTGCAAGGGAAACTCAGTGATGTCCGTGCATGAAACTCTTACCGATGTGCTTGGGAAAGTTTTGAGTATGATGCACGTACATGTAGGCCCACTGCAGGTCTTTACAAGAATGTAGTTCTGTTTAGACATTAGGATTGAAGTTTTCTTAAAAAACAACAATAATGATGATTTCCTGGTTGTGTTAAATATCTTTTGAAAAACCAGATTTTGAAAAAGGTACAAATTTTTCAAATACATACACTGTATGGTATCTGGTGCACTTGTAGAATTTACATGTACAGTGTGCACTAGAATCACGACGTATATGTTTTCAATGCATCGTATAACGCAGTAACTCTTGTAGAATTAACAATTAGAGAATTATTAAAATTGTGTATTTGTAGCATTATCCTTCCCTTTATAATTATCCTCAGTATTGTCTATACTTTTCTTGAAGAAATCATGGAAATGTCCATTGTAAACATGACCTACACTTTTCACTTGTGTCTTTTGGGCTGTCTACAGTGCTTCCATATCCATTACTCAAACACCCCCCACCCCACATGACAGTCTGACGAGCCCTGGTCCACTCAGTCAAGAGGAAGAGTGCCTCTGACAGGAATTACTCAGTTCAGTGATTCAGACCCGACTTTGCCTACTGTAGGTCGTCGGCTATAAATATCGGCACGCGGAGTCACTTCCTAATGACTTTACTCCCAAGTGTAGCATGCGTGCATTTATGGACGAGTCCTAAAGTTCACTGTGTTTTGTGCAAACTATGGAAAATGTTTGCTGAGGGAAGAAAGTAGAAATTACAAATGCCAGAAAACTGTCCAAATATGTGTTTGTGATGCATAAGGGCACACTGTCTTTGGTGTCCGACAGCAATCAGTTGATGCACCATATCAACAGCACAGTACATGTATACAGCCGAGCGCTAAATTTAGATAGTCAGTACTTAAAAAGTTACTTCCTGTTAGGATTGGTTTCCTTACCCAACGTTTGTGTAGGAGAAGTTGATCCAGCTAGTTTTAAGTGTCTAATTCTGTGTCTAGTCATTTTAAATGCTTCTAATGTACCCTCACTCCTCTGAAGGTTTGTTTGAAACAATTTTGTAAACAATCAATTGCTGATAACACTTATAGTGTGCCTAATGGATTAATTTCAGCTCTGGGGTGTTTACATGGACATCTGAATGGTTGTTAAGGCATCCATGCGCGTATAACTGGACACAAAGTTACCGTTGGGGGAGAAATATCCCTGTGCTGTTTTGGAAAATTTGCCTAATCCATCTTGGCATCGCATAATTTCAGCAGGGCTTTCTTGTAAACTTGCTTTAACCCGAGTTGATGCTTACAGTTACCGTTCACATAGAAAGCGAGACTTCCTGTTGCCAAATTTAACAGGGTTCTGAATTGCAAACAAGCAGAAAAGAGTTTTGCTTGGTTTCTCAACCTTGTGAATGTAATATTTGCAAGAGATTTCATGAATGATATCTCCTTTCCCGCTCTCCTTTCTTTAAGGGTGTTAGCCGGGGCCCCCACGGCAAACTCAGTATACCAGCGATTGTTGCGAAGGCCAGGAGCATTATATCAATGCGGACTCTCCTCACAACGTATTGGAATACGATGTCAGCAGGTTAAATTAGATGACAAAGGTAAGACAGGATACCGTGCTAGAAACAAAGCATTTTTTCCATGTGGCCTGCAGTGTCATTTGTTTGAGGTTTTTGAATTTACCTTGAATGCATTCCTGACAAGAACAAATAAACGAGAGGTACATACCGTCTGGCTTCGGCCAGGCAAGCACTGACTGAAAGTATATCTTATGTTTTTCTCTGCTTCCAAAACTTCAAATGTGCAAATATTGTTGTGAACCCCATTCCTAAAGTCTCGACGTACTTTGTCACTCACTTGCTTGGTTATATTTAAGTGTTCTTATGCACTGTATAATTTGTACAACTGAATTTTCCACTTCTAAATGTGTGCAATTCAGTGTGTTATGAAATGTTAGGCTGTAATCAATTTATGCATTTCTTATTTTGGACAATTGATTTTCCATCTTCAGGAAATGAACGCAGTGTGCCCGGCTCTAGACCGCGCTTCCTTGATGCCAAAGACAACCAGTGGTTAGGGGTGTCACTAACTCGTCAAAACATTGGAACAACGGGGAGAGTCACCGTGAGTAGATAATGTCTGACTTACCTGAGCTGCAAAACCGCTGCAGAGTATATGCTGAAATTAGGCCCTATTGTGAGACTGGACAGAGAAAAGGCATCGTACAATATTGCTCCAGATTGCTTGGACATAGAATTGAATAACACGATGGCAATGCAAGCTCTTGTTGATGAGCACATAAATTTCCTTAATAACATTTGAGAAGTGGCCCAGCTATGTTTCCCAGATTTCTTCCTTCCTAAATGTCCCTCATAAGCCCTCATCAGCTATAACTTGTAATCCTTAGTTGATAGAATGTTAATCCTGCAGAAATGATGCTGCTGCCTGTAGGCTCTACGTTCAGGACCATTTCTTCAAAAGTCAAAGCCCATGCGAAGTCGAAAATTTGAAATACAGTGTTACCTGCATGTAATATAAATAGGAGCATCTTATGAGGAATACCAGGCTCCGTCAGAAATGATGCGAAAGCCAGCTGAAAGCAACTCAGAGAAAGATTACTGATTGCGTTTGCACATGCTGTCGGGCCCATCTGGGATATGAAAGCCATAGGGCTTTGAAGTGGTGAAAGCCGATGCTTGTTCAAGTTCTGTAATTGGGAGGGATATAAGTCAGCCAAAGTGCTGATGAGAATTCTGGAAGCAATACCTCAAAGGTTATCGGTACCGGGCATTAGTTTTGTCTTGGTTGTGGGGTTCATACTGATAAAAATGGGCCTCAGCCTTGACAAGCTTCCTCTTCCAGATGGCCACCTTATTAAAAAAAAATCAGTCAAATTCAGGCTTGAGCAACATGTGTAGCCCCCATTAGATACAGTAGTAAAATTCCATTCAGCAGTTGGTGTTACTCCAGCCAGATAACTTGTTAGACAGGATTGGCCTTGACAATGGTGCTAATCCTGCTCAGGTACACAATTCAGGTCAGGGGTCAATCAAGTTTTGTTCACCCTCAAATGTGGGATTGTTCATAAGCTGAGTATTTTGTCAAATATGACAAACTGAAGCCCGAGTCGTGATATGACTGATTCAGACCCGAATTCGCTCTGCACTGAACCATACTTATCCCTCTCCTGCATTGACACCTTACTTTTAACTTCTGATCCCATGACCTTTAACCCTGAGATGAGTCATGTTACTCACATCCACATGCTCCCCCTCCCTTCCACCCCTCTCCTTGTTCGGGTCCTCTCCTTGTTCGGGTCCTCTCCTTGTTCGGGTCCTCTCCTGCATGTTCTCACCTTACCCCCTCCCAGGTGTGTGGCCACAGGTGGTCTAATGACTATTATGCAGACGCCATCTTGCCTAACGGTGTCTGCTACTCCATCAACGCCATGTTTGACTTTACCAGCGTGGTCAAGGCCCGGCCGTGTCTGAACGGTAAGTGGCTGGCAGGACAGAGTGATGCCTGCACGGGTTGACAGAGTGCCCACTAAAAGAAAAATCATGTAACATTAATTTTGCAGCATTTAGAAATGCTGACACTTCTGCTGGCTGAGAATGTCATTGCAATTTTTTCTTAACTTGCTAATGGTTCCTTGCACCCACCTGCTAACAGATTGACCAAACTACATGTACTGTCCCCACTGTAATTGTTACCTCACTAATCAGCATTGCATTTTGTCTCTAACTTCAACCCATTACACACGTGCTTCCCTCCATTATTTCTACATTGGACCATTTTCTGTTCTATTCACTGTACCCTCTGATAGCCTGCTACATCTTTTGTGGGCTTACCTAAACAGTTTATGCTAATGTTTTTGAAAAACCTCCTATGTGTCCCTTCTGATATTTACATACCGGTATGTTGAACCACTGAACATTGTTAACACAGAAAGTTATTTTACGACAGTATTAGAAACAGATATGGATATCGCATTCATAGCCAGTGTTTTAGTGGAGACAATTACCAGAACAGTCACAAGACCAATCATAAGACCAGTCACAAGACCAGTCACAAGAACAGTAACAAGACCAGTCACAAGACCAGTCACAAGACCAGTCACAAGACCAATCACAAGACCAGTCACAAGACCAGTCACAAGACCAGTCAC